AGCTTGACTGTATTTTTCCGTACCTTGTTGATGCTGAAGATGTTGACGAGTAACTAAGTTCCTCGTTCGTCAAGAGTGTTCATCGTATAGACCAAGCTAGTCCATCACGACGAGACTGCACCTTGACGTGGTGTGATGGCTTGCGCGCCTCAGTGACCCTGCGACCTACACAGGATGGCTCTTCACAGCCGGAGATCCAATCATGCCTGAACGTGAGGTAAACCTGCTAATTGTTTGAGATTCTCTACTAGAAATAACTGCCGGATGAGCACATGGCCACAATCTGAACGGCACAGCAACGAAAACTATGAGAAGTGGATCAGAAGTAAAACAACTAACTCTTCATTACACCCGAATAACTGGTCACAGAGACTTTTATCGCTCAAACCCACTGAAGGGCTCCAGTAATGCAACACAATAGTGGCTTAGCAGTCAGAAATGATGAGTTTTCCTTTATTTATGATAAAACTTTATCGCACTTTTTTCAAATGTCACCCTACTTACTCCCAGTTGCTACTGCTAAGAATGTGATCAATGGTTTTCATTCGGGCACGCAAAATAGCTGTAGAGAACATACTTTGGAATGCCCATTTTTGTGTGGATCGCTTCTTTTCCAGTGGTTTCTTCGATGGTTCCCCTATTAAACTATTTTTTATATTCTTTCTAACGGTTTTTCATCTCTCCGAGGACACTCCACGGTGCTGGTAGGTGCCGAACGCTCACCTGCCAACCGAAACAATTTATAACATCACATCGCTACAAAACGCTATCTAATGCCAAAACAATGCAGAACAAAAGCTATGTGAAATGCACTGTTGTTCGACCCTGTTGCTACGCGATAATCTCTTTACCTCTTGAACACCCACACTGTGTTTGCCTTACCCCATCACGTCCATTGCGGATTGTGTTCGTGGGTGATGACACGATGTTAAGTGCATACTCACTTGTTGATGAAAAATATGGGGCATCTAGCCTAAGATGTGACACATACTTTCACCCTGTTTATTATTTGGAAGTTTGTTCACATGTAGGATGTATTGGTTCCATCTTACAGCAACGGAATTGGTTCATTATGAAGCAAGAGATGTGGAAGTTTCTCTCTTGTGTATCCCGAAACACTTCGGTTTTAAGACGACGAGATTGCACCCATCCCGACGAGACTGCATCTTGACGTGGTGTGATGGCTTGCGTGCCTCCATGACCCTGCGATCCACACAGGATGGCTTTTCACAGTCGTAGATTCAATCATGCCTGAAAGGTCAACGGGTAGAAGCCAGACGAACCTCAGTCTCAAAGCCAGCTGCTTGGGCACCCCCTGACTTCTTTCTTCTATCCACACTCGCCCCTGGAGAG